ACAGGGAATTGGGTTGGTTTTAAATGATAAGTTGGGTTATGCCGATTATAGTGAGACATGTCCATTACACCTTGACTATTTTGAATATAAAACATCTATATATAATAAGGGATAAGAGGTTTTAAATTTTTAATGTCTTCAGTTTTTTCATCATTCAGATTATTGATTCAACGACTGAAATTCTTCCAATAAATTATTTTTCTAGCCTCTCAATCTCTCTCTCCCCCACCGCAACAATATGTTTGTCTTTCACCCTCTCTCTCACACATTACTTCTCTCTCAACCAGCGACATTGCAATGTCCAGAGTGGCTCAAGATAATTTGGGGCTTAAAACGATATCTTTAAATGAGATCTTCTATGTTTAGTATTAATATTTTCAAAAGCGGTATTTCAAAGATGATATCTTTAAATAATCTATTTCATTATCTACTTGTTCATTTTCAAAATTTTCATCAAAATTTTTTGTTACATTATTTTTGTTACTAGTAACAAATTTGTCAAGAGATCTTTTTTAAGATTCTATTAGTTGGTCAATTTTTCTTTTTCTTTTTTTTTAAATTTTTCGTATCTACTTGGTTGTCTTCTAAGTGTCATATTATTAATATATTATAGTTATATAACAACTAAACAAATACATATAAATGTAAACAAACACATATAAACGTAAATAAACACAATATATAGTATAGTTAAACTATATAACACAACCTTGAATTTAAGACTAATTTTTTTTTTCCAAAAAGTAAAAAGAAAGCAAAGACAAAGAACACAAAAAAAATTAAAATTATGAATGGTCTCAATGTTTGAACCATGTCCCTTATGTTGCAATGGAGTCGACGATGAATGGATCAGAGATCATCTCAAGCACTCAGAAGTTAAAATGAAAACTTGACTATGGCTTTACACCGTGATAGGATTAACACTGTGAGAGGATTATTATGAGCGCACTGAAAGAGAAAGACAGAGAAAGAAAAATGAAGATGTCCTGGTTTATCGAGAGAAGAGTTGGGCGGCTTGGGGGCCAGTTGGCTTTTGGTTAAATCGAAGAGAGAGAGAGAGAAATGGATGTTATTGCAATGATTTGATCTTTAAATTTTTTAATTTGATGTGACTTTTGAGTTTAATTTTTTTTTTTTTTTAATATTTAATATTTGAATTAGAATATGGGCCTAAATGAAATTTTTTTTTGAAGATAGGGCCTAAATGATTGATAGGTCTTTTATTTTTATAAGACTTTTTTCACATGGATTATTATGGTACTTAAAAAATTTGGGTCTTTCTTAAAAATGGGGCCTAAAGCCCAAGCTTTTTCAAATATGTTGTTGGCCCAGCCCTGGCAACATCATTGCCGACCATTGCCATTCTCCACTATTTCCACCAAGTTTCGCTCTCTGTCTATGTCTTTGACATTTTTTTCTCTCTCTCTATTTCTCTCTCTTTCACCCCAACCCCACCCCATTCCGAAAACCCCCTCCCAAAAACCCAAACCCACAAATCCCCTCTCAAAAACCCCTTCACCTGTCATTGTCATTATCAGTGAAACACCACCACCATTATTATTTAATTGTATAATAATAATAAGAGGTATTGATGTCAGCAATATCATCTGATGTAATTATTTTTAAGGTAAATTGCACCAATAGTCTCTAACGTTTACCATTTGTTGAACTTTGGTTCTTAAACTTTTAATTTCATCAATTTGGCCCTCGGAGTTCACCCATTGCACTAATGTAGTCCTTCGCTCCAACTTCCTTCTGAATCATTTACCAAAAATGACACATGTCAAGCACATGACTGATATAAAGGGTAATTAAGTTATTGCTTCCAAACACCCTTATTCCTCCTTTGAACAATTCTAAACCTAAACCCAACCACACTAGTTCTTCTTCTCCTTTCCTATTCATCGTCCTCCCTTGTCTCTCTCTGCACACAACACTCACCAAACCCAACACAAACACCATACACACTCTCTCTCTCTCTCTCCCCCACCCCAAACCCCGTAAAGCAACACATACCTACACATATATACACCAAAGCATAACACCCAGTCAAAATCTACACCCATTTAAAACCAATGCATATATACTGAATTGAAAATCTACGCCCAGTCACACACACCATACTTCAGCAACACATACATACACCAACGAATAACACCCAGTCAACACATANGCAATGGAGTCGACGATGAATGGATCAGAGATCATCTCAAGCACTCAGAAGTTAAAATGAAAACTTGACTATGGCTTTACACCGTGATAGGATTAACACTGTGAGAGGATTATTATGAGCGCACTGAAAGAGAAAGACAGAGAAAGAAAAATGAAGATGTCCTGGTTTATCGAGAGAAGAGTTGGGCGGCTTGGGGGCCAGTTGGCTTTTGGTTAAATCGAAGAGAGAGAGAGAGAAATGGATGTTATTGCAATGATTNTTTGGTGGTGGTGGAGGCTGGAGGTAGCATAGGGCGAGCGATAATGGTTGTTGCACAATGTCTCTCTCTTTGTGTATGTGTGTGTGTGAGAGAGAAAGAGAGGGAAGAGTTGGTTGCGGTTGTGGTTGTGGGCGATTGTAGTAGTGGTTGGTGTCGCCGTTGACGTTGTCGNAATTAGAATATGGGCCTAAATGAAATTTTTTTTTGAAGATAGGGCCTAAATGATTGATAGGTCTTTTATTTTTATAAGACTTTTTTCACATGGATTATTATGGTACTTAAAAAATTTGGGTCTTTCTTAAAAATGGGGCCTAAAGCCCAAGCTTTTTCAAATATGTTGTTGGCCCAGCCCTGGCAACATCATTGCCGACCATTGCCATTCTCCACTATTTCCACCAAGTTTCGCTCTCTGTCTATGTCTTTGACATTTTTTTCTCTCTCTCTATTTCTCTCTCTTTCACCCCAACCCNTGATTACACCATTCAAAATTTATTTTTACCCATTATTTTCTTAAAAATATTAATAAACATTTTTCAAAATACATAATTCGATAAAATTTTCTCAGTATATGTATACTATCGTATAGAGATAATATCTGAAATAAAAATCATGTTAAACTATAAATTAATCAAATATTAAATGATTGAACATGTGATAAAAATGAGTGATGTGATGGTTTTGGNCCCCTTCACCTGTCATTGTCATTATCAGTGAAACACCACCACCATTATTATTTAATTGTATAATAATAATAAGAGGTATTGATGTCAGCAATATCATCTGATGTAATTATTTTTAAGGTAAATTGCACCAATAGTCTCTAACGTTTACCATTTGTTGAACTTTGGTTCTTAAACTTTTAATTTCATCAATTTGGCCCTCGGAGTTCACCCATTGCACTAATGTAGTCCTTCGCTCCAACTTCCTTCTGAATCATTTACCAAAAATGACACATGTC